GTGGTGTGTCCTCAGTGAGGTTAAACTGCTGAAGCCGTGTCGTTTGGGTTGGGAAGAACCAAGGTTCTCTCCCAGTACTGCAGCACACGGGCCGGCCATCAGTCGGTACTCGTCTTACTCGCTCCCCGGCCCCACCCCCTCCGGGATCTGCCTACGGCAGCGAGTGCTGAGAGATGCATGATGGTTCTGAAGGCGAGATGGCGCCCTGGGTGTGCCGTCCGCTCAGCTGTGAGAGGCGGCTCACTGGGGCTGACTGGTGTCACGCTGTGCTCTAGGTCCCCGCCGAACCCGTGCCTGTCCCGGGAGATCTCGACCTCGCCGCCCCGGCCGTCGACGCGCCTCTCTCTCCTGGAGACTTCGCCAGCCAGGCCGGGGGCGAGGGCGCCTGCAGGGTGAAGACTGAGCTGGCAGGTGAGCTGGCGTCCGGGGGGGGGGAGGGGGGACACGGAATGTCTTCAGCTTCGTTCCGGGCAGCAGCAGAGACCGATGGGCCGACGTTCACCCCTCAGGCCTCGCTGCCCAGCTGACTCCCGCCATAGCTGAGAGAGTTGCAGCACATTGAAGCTGCAGGAGCACGCTGGGTACAGAATTCAGGTTTCCTCCAGTCAAGGTACATGTCTTGATTACCTGAGGTCCTGGTAAAACTTGTATTTCTGTATTTGTTCAAGTAGGGAGCTGCGTCAGCATGCCTAGGCTGCAAAGGAACAAGTAAAGTTTATTCCAGGCTGAAAAGAGAAGAAAAAAAAACTGTTTATTTTCTTCTCTTTTCAGCAGGGAATAAACCTTTACTTGTTCCTCTTCTGTATTTCTTCAGATGGGTAAGGGAATGGGGCACATATCTGGTGATCCTCCCATCTTCTCTGCCTGACCCCTGACCCTCTCTGACACCAGTGGATGCTGGTTTCTGCTGCCTGTCTGGGTGTCACGGCGACACGATTGAGCCCCTAAGCCCCGCCCACAGCAGAGCCCAGTGGCAAGCAGGGGGGAGGAGCTGACAGTTCAACCCACCAATGAGAGAGAGGTCACACTGCAGGTGGTGTAGGGAGGCAGGGGCAGTGCTGGCTCTAAAAAAGGCGAACGGAATCGATTGCGCATTTTCTGCTAGCTTGGTTGCCTCATCGCGCATGGCGAGCGAAAATGCACATCACCGTCTTCCTGAATTTAAGTGTGTTGTGATTTTCTCCCAGTCCTGAATTCTCTGTTTACTTCCTTGCAAATTTGGGACAGTCTGGCAGAACACCCAGGCTAATTAAGAAGAGGCTTAGACTGAAGCAAGAATATCGTTGAGTACTCAGCCCCAGTTTCCAAATGAAAGTTCCCTGTTGCTCGTACCCATGTGTAACGGCCAGCGGGGGTTTCCCCGGTCTGATTGCTCCCCAGAAGGCACCCCCTCCCCCGCTGACTCACCAGAGGCCCCGCCCCCGAAGGCGAAGAAGCCCAAGGGCCTGGAGCTGCCGTCCTCGCCCACGGTGCTGCCCGGGGGGCTGTCTGCGGACAAGGTCAGCGCCGCGGTCAACAGCCTGCTGGCGCCGGGCAGCGCCAGCAACTCCCTGACGCCCACCGTCATCACCTCCCACGCGCTGGTAAGGCCGATCCGCCCGGGCAGGAAGCACCCCACCTGCACTGCGCCCACCCGCCTGCAGGGCGGCGACACAGCGTGTGCACACAGAGGTGCGCACGTCACCGGTCTGTTCCTGACAGTCCGGAGACACAGCCTGTGCTGTGCTCAGCTGTTCTCTATCTCTCAGCCTCTGATAGACATTCCATGTTGCTGGCATGAGTGTTGTGTAGAGTAAAAATCCACTGGAGATCTTTTTGCTGAGCAGAAGAGGAGTTTATTGTATATCTGGCCCAAGTGAAACTCCCTCCTTGCAATTAGGAAGATGGTTCCAACAAGAAAAGTTACAGCTTACCTTTTATACGCTTACTTGATAAGGAATACAAACAGCTTGAGTCTCGAAAAGAGAAACTTCAGTCTTAATTTAGATTGGTTTAGCAAACTTCTGCTTTGATGAAAAGATGTCTACGTAACTAAGCGATATCAGTGTTTTCCTCTAGCCGGTAGTTATAATTGGCCTTCTACACAAAACAGTTCTTTGGGGTTCTTAAAACAAGCATTCTCTGTGTCTACAGGCCCCTAGTCTTATCAGCAGCAGATACTGAAATGTTGCAGCTGGCATTTTGCTGAAACAGAGAGAGAATTTTTAACCCTTCAGTTGTTGTTACCGTTGATATTTTTATTATTTCCCCAGTTCCCTCAGTGTCTTGCAGTGGCTCTTGCTAAACTGCAGTCTTCAAGGTCTGCTGTTAGCAGGGGCTCATATTATTATTAATAATAATAATAATAATAATATTATAATTCCTTACACTTATATAGCGTTTTCTTCTGGGCACTCCACTCAGAGCTCTTTACAAGTACTGGGGGTCCCCTCCACCCCCACCAGTGTGCAGCCCCACCTGGATGATGCTCCAGTCCTCTCCCCACACACCAGCTCTCAGTGGGGAGGAGAGCAGAGTGCTGAAGCCATAAGCCATGCAGTGTACTGGAGCCTGTGTAGATGTTCCCAGGCTCTCTGGAGTGAAAGGCCTCTGCTGTATTTTGTATTCTGAGCGGCAGGATTTGTTCCAGCCCGGTGTTGCTTGTCCCCCCTCTCTCTCTCTCTCTGTTTCAGACCCCCGTGCTGCTGACGCCAAGCCCCCTGCCATCCACCATCCACTTCTGGAGCACGCTGAGCCCCATCGCGCCGCGCAGCCCCGCCAAGCTCTCCTTCCAGGTACGCTGGCCGCCGCGGGGCTGCAGGGCGCCCCACCCAGCTTCTCTCTGTGAAAAACCAAGACTTTCAGAGAGTCGCCAGTTAATTGTTAATTAACAGTTAATTGAACTCAGGATCTCCTCCAGCTTCTTCTTCAAAGAGCCCTGTGTAATGGCCTCAACACCATAGCTGCCTAGCTTGTTCCACTCTCCCACAACTCTCTGTGTAAAGCAGTGCTCTGCCCTGCCCTGTATTACTCTGGCACAGAGGCAGAGCCCTGGGCGACCTGTCCCAACCCCTCCCTTGAGTCCACTGTTACACTACTGTTGCTTTCAGCACTGAGAGCAAACTTGTTTCAGCTACACAGGTTTTGCCCTCTATAATAAGAGGCTGCTTCAGTGCAGAGATTCTCAAGAGAAACGGGAAGATGTGTTCTGGAAGTGTAGAGCTCCGTCCCCCCCTGCTGGAGGACAGTGGTACAGGCGGACATGACATGAGGATTCTAGACTGGCAGGAGTGCAGCGAGATGATGCTCTCACGCCGAGGCCTCCAGAAGGGGCAGGGGTGCCTTGCTGCTAGGGACAGGAGTGGAGGTTCTCACTTAACAAACATTAAACGCAATTAACCCGCATCGTTGAAGTTGATCCCAAGGGGCTTCGCTGTAGTGCCGAACATTCCCAGTCGAATACAGAAAAACAGGTGCGTTCCTCAGTGCGGAATCCCGTTTTGGGCCTTTTTAGTTAAAAAGGGTGACCGAGACGGGACACCGGCACCCGAGTCAAATCGCCGCCTTTCAACATCGCCCCCCGGGTGCCCGTCTGTGCAGCCAGGAGCTGGGGGTTACCGGTTCACCCCGAGACGCAGGCGCGAGGTCTGAGCTCGTGAAGTCCTCGTCCTAGACTGCTCCTCTATCCCAGCGGAGGCGCAGCAGTAACCCAGTGCTCTCCCTCTCTCTCCTGGTTCCCAGTTCCCGTCCAACGGCAGCAGCCAGATCCACATCCCTGCCTTGAGTGTGGACGGCCTGTCCACGCCGGTGGTGCTGTCCCCCGGCCCGCAGAAGCCCTGAGGCTGCCGCAGCGCCGGCGCCGGCTGAGTTCACCCCCCGCGCTCCGGCAGGGGCCGGGGGGCTGGTCATCACTCCCCGCGGGGCCAGGGAGGCGGCGGGGACGGACGGGAGAGAGGCGTGTCCAGCGGGGTCTGGAGTGGGCGCTGGGCACAGGTTGCGTGGCGCCGTCTTCTCTGGGCTGTCATGAGCCTCCCGCCACGGAACGCCCTGGCGACTCCCGAGCAGCGAGGCAGCGTGGGAAGGCTTTAGATCTTCATCCGTGCGGCCCTGCGGGAGGCGGGCAGGGGGCGTTTCCTTTTCCGTCGCTGTGGTTTCGATCCTGTTGCCGGGGGCACCCGGGCCTTTTCTGGCACCCGGGCCTGTGCTGTCTTCGCGGATGACCTTTGACCTTTCGCGCAGGTCAGACTTGATCCCCAATGGGAAATCTTGTCGAGAAACCCTGTGCTTTTTTTTTCTTTTTTTTTTTTTAGCCTTTGAAGCTTTTGAGATGAATGATATACAGTGACGTAGAGATGTGCTATCTGTTTTCAGTACGGGTTTGAAGGCGCGGGTCTGTGTCGCTGGGCACTGACACGTTTCCGTAAGAAGACTGAGCCTTCGGCCGTTTTCAGTGCCACAGCTTTCTGAGGAAACGAGCTCTTAACCTGCATCCTTTTTACTCCAGCGGGCAGGGAAAGGCACAGATGCCAAAAGACCGGTGGATGTTTTCTTGTTAAAGGATAGAATTTGCTTCAGAAACACGGGAAGAGAACAGGATTCCGACTCTCATTCCCAGTGTGGTGAGCTCCGGCCCTGATCCACCCTTCGTCCCTCTGCTGGTAGAGACCTCCAGCCATTAGTGTTCAGGGGCTCCATTACTCAGCTGTTTTTGTTACAGTTTCCTGATGTCATAGTCGGAATGCCAGGAAGGAATGGACACTTCGGAATGTGCACTCTGATCTTTAAAAAAAAATTTTTTTAGGATAACTCCAGGAAACGGAGACTATTGACCAAAGCCAGCTGTTCTGACGATGTCCGGCGGACGTTTTTTTTGTTTTCGAACCGAGACCACGGATCTTGCCCCGTCTCGTTCAGGAAAGGGCTACATCAACTTTCATTCTTCTGCGTTACCAAATACTGAACCGCGACGGGCCGGTCCGGCTCGGGGATGACTCTGGTCTTCATTCTTTTCTTTGGGTTTGTGAGGTCCAAGACCGGGGAAGTGTAAAGATCCAGCTCTGTCGCAGCTTTTAGGCATTCGTCCTTTGAATGTTACCTTGTGGATTAGTATTATTTCTGCTGAATTTGCAAATATTTGTGTCTTGCTATTTCTTTAAACCAGAAGCATGAGGCTGTATACCCTGGAGCAGTCACGCTCACTCTCTCTGCTACTGTCATTGGTTTAAGACGATCACTCGTATTTCCATTAGGTGGCCAGTTTGGATTTGAGCACAAACTGAAGATGGCAGTCTTGCAGAGAAATTCAGAGGGAAGTCTGCCTGCATCGCATGTTTTCTGGTCCCAAGTGCCGTGCTTTTGTCGGCTGCATCTCGTTTCTGAAATCTCCGTTTTGTTAAGGTCTGAAATATGAACTTTGATGAGAAACCGCTACTTCTTGAGCTGGCATGCCTGGTGGACAGTTTAGTGAGCCGAGAAGCATGTATGATGTTACACTGAAATTTGAAATATATAATTTAAGGGCAGGCGAGAGTATTTGAAGATTGTGCCACCAAGATGCAATGCAAATCGCGATTCACAATGCAAATATTTTTATAGATATAGATATATCATCACAGATATAGTATCATTGCTAGAGTATCATTCGCTGCCATGTGGAGTTTATGGGTTTGTCTGATGTCTCAGAATAAGCAATGGCAGTAATTCTATTGCAGTATCACCTGACACAAGTGGTTCCCCTAAATGTATCATTTCCTCTCACCCTGTTCTGCTGTGCATGAGAAAGGTTTAGAAGAAATGAGAGCAGCTTTGTCCCATGATACCTACGTTGTCCCATCATTCCATGATCATTTGCATCAGGTCCCATGTCTCTAAAAGCCAAGAGGAGCCTATGCGGCCCATTGGGTAGTCAGAAGCTAACTGTTCCCTGGCAGGATCTAAACCAGCTGTTTCCTGAAGGAATTCAGGGCATCGGCTTGAACAGCGTGGCAGGGGTAGCTTGTTCCAAACTCCCACCACCCTTTGTGTAAGACGAGCCTCCTGTCCTGTGATTGGAGGATCCCATCCATCCCATTCTGAGGCCAGAGCATCATGAAGGGGGGAGGGGGTGGTTCTCGGGAGAACTGCCTCCGTTCCCGATGGGGAACATTTGAGCTTTGTCCACCTCTCTAGCCAGATTTTTTATTTGCTACACAATTGGTTAAACGTCTGCTGAAGTTGTTTTCCTTTAATTGATGTTCACCATAATGTCTGCTGCCTAATTGTTAGGGGCTCTTGGATTTGATTCTGGACTGGGGCTCCTTCTGTGCGGAGTTTGCGTGTTCTCCCCACGTTCACCAGGTGCTCTGGTTTCTCCTGATCTCCCAGCGGCAGCAGGTGAATCACTGCTTCTGTTAGCGCAGATCAGAAACCAGCCCTGCTGTGGCTTGCTCTTGATGCAGGAAACGTATTTGACTCTCATATGTGCAGCTTTGAAACAATATGGTTTTGACTGAGTGACTGAAGATGCCTCGTTAAGCACAGTGATGGCGACAGTGGTTCTGTAAAACTATTTTCCCTGACAATGATTGTTCTCTCTTTTCAACTTGAACCCCAGTCCTCACACAGCGGGTTCATAGCCATGGAGCCCAGACTCTCGAACCCCAGTCTGTACTCAACCATGACGTACTCAGGGTTTACTATTTTTCTTAATCGAGTCAGTCAGCGAATGAATCGCTCTGACACGCCCGGCTGTCAGCGCCGCCATCTCGGTCTCGGCCCGTTCACTGTCCATCACCACAGGAAGACAAGGTCAGAGGTCAGATCTGAGGGCAAGGATCTCAAACCACTGAGTCTCCTTCCACACCCCCCACCACACACACACACACCAACACCCCCCACCACACACAGAGACATGTGTTCACACACAGACACCCCCCAACACACACAGAGACGTGTGTCCACACACACACACCATCACTTCCTAACACACACACAGACATGTGTCCACACACAGACACCCCCCAACACACACAGAGACGTGTTCACACACCGACACCCCCCGCCACACACACACACCAACACCCCCCAACACACAGACACACCAGCACTTCCCAGCACACACAGAGACGTGTGTTCACACACAGACACCCCCAACACACACAGAGACGTGTGTCCACACACAGACACCATCACTTCCTAACACACACACAGACATGTGCTCACACACGGACACCCCCAACACACACAGACATGTGTCCACACACAGACACCCCCAAAACACATACACCAGCACTCCCCAATACACACAGAGACACACGTACAGACACACACACCAACACGAGCACACACATGCTGGGGCAGAGAGCACAGTTACTGATTATTAGTTTTAATTAATGGAAGTGTATCCCACTCCCCCACCTTCTCAGTAACACATTTCCCAGGTGCTGCAGGTTGTCTGCTGACTTGCATCGAGTTCGCAGACTGTCCGATATTCCAGCTGTTGGAAATCCTCCCTCCGCTGTGTGTATCCTGCACAGAAGGGGCTCTTACCCTGACCTCCCTCCTAGTCCCATGTACTCGCACCACAGTCCTCGGCACCTGCAGTAGATAATGGATCCTAAGAGCCCCAGCAGCCAGTCTGTGATGGGAGAGTTGCTTTTAAATTATTCTAGCGTGTTCTGATACAGAGAAAGGCATGTTCTAGAACTACCGCAGTTCATGCTAGTTAGTAATTACGCGACAGATATTACTGCCTTTATTAGGCTAGCAAATTAGCCTAAATTGCATCAGATAAAACCCTTTTTCAGAAATCACTGTTCGCCTTAAAATGCTTTGCCTTGTCACATACACTACAAACCCAGGGTGAAACCAATGTACTTCTGTGTATTTGCAGATTGTTTAAATGTTTATTCTATGCTTTTATATTGAAAAGAAATTATATGTACATACTGTATAGATTTAAAGAGATATAAGTATCCTTTCAGTGCTTTTAAAAGGGGGCTGTGACAGTACAAATTGTGCAGAGAGTTTTAATGGGTTTTGACTTGATGTTGTTGTGGAAGCAGGTGGGATTACTGTCGGAATTTCATTATGGAGCTTGTAATCTTTTATTTTATTTTTTATGAAATCTTGGCTCTTTTGAGGTTTTGTAAGAGAAGAGCTGTTTTCTGGTCCTCTCAGACCTTTTTTGCCATGCTGAGTGTGAATTGGACTGGACTTTTCTGGGTCGGAGGTGGGTGTGAAACGTGCCGGGAGCCAGTCCGTGTGCAGCACAGCCCAGGGCCTGCAGCAGGGTGCGATGCGATGAGGTCCCAGCTGTCCACCTGGCCTCACACCTGGTCTGGAAGAGCCACATCAGCTGTCTTCAATCCCATCGGACAGACGCTGGGCTGACGTTTAGGACTGATCACAGTTTGTCGCGTTTTGCACTGGAATTTCGAGATAAGGTCTCGCCCCGTCGCAGGGGAGAAGCCTCACAGTGAAAGTTGTCCCTTCTTACAAGCCATCCAGTGTCTGTGTATACCTGTGAGCCAGCAATAGTGATTCATTTTTTTTTTGTCCTGGTCCTAAAACTGCTTTATAATGACATCAGAAATGAGAGCAGGCTGGCTGTGCTGCAAGGCTGGGGTTTATTCCAGTGCAGTGTTCAGGTCCGCTGCGGGTGACTGCGTGTTCCTGGCACGAGGCTTCACGGGGGTTTTCAATAGGCGCAGGGCACACAGCTGGCGGAATGCCAGGTCTTTCTGCCTGGTGCTCTGTCCTGCTCCCCGCCCCTCCTGGCCGTGCCTCTCGCCGTCTGCCGTCGGCTCTTCCTGCGGGTTGTGCTCGTGTAACGAGTTTGAAACGATGGGCGCGTGTCCCGAATGGTTCTGCAGAGAGACTCTCTCTCTCTCCGGCTTCCTATGTCAGCCGGTGGGTGGTCTCTCTCTCTCTCTCAGCCTGCGAGGTGACCGCGGCGCAGGGCGAGGGGGCTGCGTGTTCGGTCTCCAGCCTCCAGCTCTTGGGCAGACGGCACTCGCCGGCTGGAGGTGGCACCCTTCCACACACACACGTGCCTTTTCCAAACACGCCGCCCGGACCCCTTTTAGGATCTTTTTTGCTGTTGCTGACAATAGCTGCGTGGGGCTGGGCGGTTATGAAGCACGGTCACGAGTGTACGTCGTCCGTCAGCCTGGGTGCACACTGGGGCCGGCCACATATCCCTGCTCTGGTTTTCTGCTCTCTGTTCGCCAACACCCATTTCCTCACAAACCCTGTAGCAGCGGCGCAACGAGCCCTGCTCTGGTAATGGGTTCACCTGAGTAATTAACAGCAGGGTGGACTGGACATGAAGACCCTGTGGCTCTGCAGGACCAGGGTTGGAGTGTCCTATTTGCCTTTCAGGGGCAAGAGCACCTGTGTCTGCTGGGCAGTGCCACCTGCTGGCACAATCTGTGCAGAGGGCTGTGTAGACGTGTCCAGAGCAGGTAAGATCTCACTGGTTCAGGGCTGCGGGCCGTCCGTACGTGCCAGAAGGACAGTGGGAGTCTGTTCCATCACACTCGGATATGGTCTGTTCCATCTGCACCGCACACCTCTGAGGCCGCGCTGCAGAGGACGAGTGTTTAAGACAGTCAGCAGCTCATGGCCGATGCTTGTTCTGGCGTTGTAATGCAAAGACAATGCTTCTCGAGTGTCTGAGTAAATTTAAAACAATAATACAAGCACATGGGCACTGCTTCCTCAGCTCTGTGATGCACGAACATGTTCCAGTGGTAAAACATGATTCTCTTGGTGCAAAGTCAGATGGGACAGACCTTACCTAACAGGTTTGAATTTAGCCAAATGGCAAAACTAAAGATGGGTATTTTTGAATTTATGCACTGTGATATTTATTTTTTGTCAACTTTAAAACTTGTTTTCTATAGAGTGTTTATATATAGAAAAAGAAAGTAAATAAAAAGGCTCTACTTTTTAGAAATGCCATACTTTGACTTTCAGGTTGCGCATTAGAGAGTATTTTTCTGTGACATGAAATGTGTATTTTTGAAATGAAACTGTACGTTTTCTTGTGGCAAGAAGGTGATTCCTTGCTCCAAAAGTGCTGGATCTAGAATATCTTTCCTCCTGTGCGAGAAAGTCACAAGTGGTATTCAGGTGTTGAGATTTATATTTCTGTGGAGCCTTTCCTTTCGTGAGCATGGTGAGTCTTTCTTCAGTGCAGGTGGACTTTGCTGGACTGTCCTCAGGGCTCTGCATGGCCATGAGAACGACACAGCCCTGTGGTGGTCAGTGTCCCTCTCCCAGCGCTCCTCCCTATAATTCTCATGCTCTGTGACAGCGACGGGCAGCACAAAGACAGAAGACAGAGACTGGAAACTGAGCTACTGCAGTGTTGGGCACTTAGCTAGGCAGTCAACAGGCAGGGCAGCCTTGTTTCAGAGAATGAGTTACCCTTGATCTTTTGGAAGCTGTTTAAACAGTTGTTTTTAAAAAAAGACGCGTTTTAGCCTCGAGGTTGTAACTGGTTTCTGAAAAGGCGCTTTTTGGGTTTTTTTTCGAGGGAGGTGTAAGCATCTTATTTTGCGTCTTAAAGGGTAGATTGGCCCGTGACCATGTGTGTCTTCTGTCATTGACACATGGTATCATGCCTGCATTAAAACTGAATTCCAGTCCGGAACACGGCTTGCTTCTGTTGGTCTGCGACGGTCGTTTCTGGAGCTTTGAGAGCTGAGTTCCACTGTTAATGAGTAAATATATTTTTTATTGAATTAAAGAACTTGCCAAGGTTAGAGCTTTTGCCTCAGTGGCAAATGCTTATTTTTTTGTCAGAAGCAAAATGCCTTTTTACAGAAGGGAGATCAAGGGATAGATTAAGTCCTTTTCCACCTTGCAGAAATGCCAGGTTTTTACAAAACATTCTGCACAACTATCTAGAAACACAAAAGGTCTTGATAAGATGTGATGTATTTATTTTTTGGCCTTTTTGTTCTTAGTCCAGAATGATATTTCTGTGCTTATCAAGATTGTAATATATAGAGAATTCTGTGCTAAGCTTTGTGGTGTTTTATGTTTCCTGTGACATTTCTCTAGATTTTGTTGCAGCAAATTATTTAGCAGAATTGTTTGATAATTCTGCTCTGTCATCAGATCTTCAGTCTCGCTACAAGCGCCAACAATCATTCCTGAGGATTAACCTGTATACAGATATTTGGTCCTTGTGTTACAGAGGACCGATTCCACTGCCAAGCAGTTTAAAATAAAACTATTCAAGATTTTGCTTTGCTTGCTGTGTTTTGTAACTGAAGATGTTGCTGGATATATTACCAGAAGGTTGCCATTTTAAAAAGATGGTTTTTCTGTACGTGGGAAGCTTGTCAGAAATATTTGTACTGGAATTTACATAAAAAGCCTTGCTTTAAGAGGTTCTGAGTTGTGGTTTCGAAATGTAATGTACTATTTTTGTGAAGATGCTTATTGATCGCCATTTCTCCTCTCTCTGCCCCGGTTCTAGGCCTGTTTTTTTTGGAGAGGGTATTTGAGAGGGGCAGGTCCCTTTTATTTCCTTAATGTGACCTTCAGAATATTTTAAAATAATGTATTTACAGAGAGGAGAGAAAGAGAAAATAAACATTCAAGAAAATCCTGTATTTTTTAATCTGCAGTCTACTTTGTATGTATATATGTTACAGATGAGTATCACTTTTTCTAACAAAAAGCTGGAACTACTATAACAAAAAATGAAATAAAATCCTATTTTCCTCTTTGTTTTTCGAGGTTTTTTTTTAATACTCAAACACATAAAGCATATTTCTTCAAGTGTAGTTTTGCCCTGTGCATGTGATGCATGAATGGAGATGAGGAGTAACCTTTTAAAGCATTAATCGATCAGTGGGATCCACTGATTGATCTGATCATAATGGGCTTGAGAACAAACTTTACTTCTGGATTT